AAAAAAAAATATTAGCTCCCCCCCCCCCCCTTTGATGCATCCGAAAAAAAAAAAAAAAAAATCCATAAATTAGGTCAAACGCAAAGAATCTCGTACAGATAACTCATACTGTTGGGATAACTAGCGAGTGGAAACATAAAGCCACGGTATGGCGATCAATACGAAACATTTCAGTAATTTCTTAGAGATTTCACAGATGGATTAGGTGACTTTTGGCTTTACTAGAGACTAGCGAATGTACCCGGCGTGGCCCGGGATGGCATTGGGACCCCCAATCCCTGCACACTCCCGTTCCCCCATGGGATCGCGTAACGAAAGGGTTCCAGTTTACTGTTGGATCTCGTTCCCCATTAGGATCTTGTTCCTCTCTGGGATCATCCTCAGCGCGATTTTGTTCGAATAAGCTTTTGGATCCCATTATATATCCTCATAGAACAATATAGAACCTTCTGGAACATTCTAAATTAAATTTAATAACTTTCATGAAACCCATAAAAAAATTACTTTTTTTACGTAATTATTTATCAAATACAAAATAGTATACGTACATTTAAATGGAAATAGGGGCCCTGTTGGGGCCCATTTAATAAAGTACCGTTTTGTTATGTCTGAGATGGTGGGCCCTATAAAAATCATTCAGATACACATGGGAGTTAAAATGTAAAATTTTCCCATTAAAATCGGTTTAAAAATGCCATAGATATCGCTTTTTTTTAATTATCGAACTTTTTTGAAATTCTAGATCGGCCCTGCATGGATTGGATATTACTGGTTTGAAATCCACTGATGTTTCATAACGGACAATGAAGGGTATCGCTACCAAGTTAGGCATAGATAGGTCCATGAATTCACATAAGACCTAAAGTGTATAAGCCTAATAATATTTATATAGCTTATATAAGGAAATATAAAATGGGGCCGCCTAGGGATGTATATTATGAGTTTAGTACCCCTCGGTATTTGAATATGCATAATCAAGTGTGTTTGTACCGGTACTAAGTTTGGTCAAGAGCCATCAATTCATGTAGGAGTATAAAGACAATAGATATTTACATAGCTTATTTAAGAAAAAAAATTAAACGGGGCCCCGTCCCCATAGGGATGGATATTATGAGTTCAGTTCCCTTTGTTATTTGAATATGGATAACGAAGTCTATGCGTTCTAAGTTTGGTCAAGATCCATCCATTCACGTAGGAGTATTTTTTAGTAATTTTATTTTTATATCTCATATAAGAAAAAGAACGACTTCGGGGCCCCCGGCCCCAAACATAATGTTATGAAAAGTTCATAGCCCCTTAAGAGTTCTGGATAATGATGGATATATGTGCCATGTTTGGTCACGATCCATCAATCCATGTAAAAGCCTTTGTGGAACAAACAAACAGACACATATAAATATATGTAATAGTAATAGAGAGACTCAATCTTTTTCTCCATCCTACTCGTGTATGCCTTTCAGAACAAAAGCGAGGGGATATACATCCACCCTAGAGATGACGGCAAATTATTCAACATTGCCCGCCTTTGAGCTAAGACTAAAACAAGAAAGGTCTTGCTGCTGGAGTTCTTGTTTGCCGACGATGCCGCTTTGGTATCTCACACAGCTGACGGCCTGCAGAGCCTCGTATCCAGCCTATCCGCTGCCTGCAAAGAGTTTGGCCTGACAATTAGCCTAAAGAAAACTAACATTATGGCACAGGGCGCTGACTCCCTCCCCACTATCGCCATCGACGACTACGACTTGGATACTGTTGACAGATTCACATATCTGGGATCCAACATATCGAGCACCCTCTCAATGGAGGATGAGATAAGTGGGAGGATAGGGAAGGCCGCAACTGTTATGGCCAGACTGAAGAAAAGAGTCTGGTCAAACGCCAAACTAACAACAAGAACTAAGCTGCAGGTGTACCAGGCCTGCGTACTGAACACACTTTTGTATGGATGCGAGTCGTGGACCACAAACTCTAAACACGAAAGAAGGCTCAATGGCTTCCACCTCAGATGCCTGCGCCACATCCTTAACATTAAATGGCAAGACAAAGTCCCCAACACGGATGTCCTGTCCCAAACAAACATGTGTAGTGTCCCAGCCATGTTAATCCAAAAACGCCTCCGCTGGCTTGGACACGTCAAGCGAATGCAATCTGGTTGCATACCAAAGGACGTGCTATACAGCGAGCTGGCGACAGGGAAAAGGTCAGTTGGACGGCCTCGTCTGAGATACTTAGACATTTGCAAAAGAGACATGAAGTCCTCTAACATCGACATCTCAAACTGGGAAGAGTTGGCAGAGGATCGATCCTCATGGCGGGGCATCGTGAAGGCAGGATCGCTACATGCCGAGGATCAAAACAGGGCGGAAACAGCTGCAAAAAGAGCGAGGAGGAAGGCCGGTAAATACTGCTCCACAGCATTCGTGTGTGGGAAATGTAACAGAGACTGCCATTCGAGGATTGGTCTCACCAGCCACACCAAGAGCTGCAAGCAATAGAGATAATCTATCGTCTCCTGCAGACGGAATGATGCCATACAATAGTAATAGAGAGATTCAGAATTTCGTGATTTAAATGTATGTATTGTTTGCAGACTCCCACCAGCCCTACGCATAATAAAACCTCCCCCACACACCTTTTTTTTCCTCCCGCAGTGCGTACTTAATCTAGGCCTATATCATAGGTGTTTAAATCTAATGACTCATTGCTCTTTATAATGTTTAAATATAATGATTCATTGGTCTTTACTCCAAGTCAACTCCCACTTGTGCACACACAGATTCAACTTTGCGTTGACTTATCAGTTCAAAGAAATCTCAAGAGAAGATGTTGCAAAGTTTTGATGGATGTTCATTTTCTGTGGTTTTTAAAAATCTTAAATCAAAACAATTCTTACTTATAGTTTCATGGATCGGGAACTAACTGTATCATGAATTGTTTAATAAGTTCTCCCTGGCCCCCTGTCTTTGAAAACTCTGTCACCAGACCATTGGTACCTTTTTGTAAACTGTGCAACTATCTAATATATTTCATAATGAACTAACCCATGTAGGGCATTGGCCGGCCTCACCACTTCTTTCCACTAAGACCTGTGGCGCTACAGCCCAAGTAGGGCTTTGGCCGGCCTCACCACTTCCTTCCACTCAGACCTGTAGCGCTACAGCCCAAGTAGGGCTTTATCCTGCCACACCACTTCCTCCCACTCAGACCTAACTGATGCTTTCTTTTCCCATGCTCCGATTCCCAGCTGTTGTTGAACTTCTTCCGCGTCATCCATCAAGCAAAGCCCGGGGGCTTTAAATTAATGAACATAACCTTCATTAGCAAAAATAGGATTGAAACAAAAAGAACATTTAACAGTTACAATAATTAATTTTAATTCATTAATACATAATAAAAAAAAGGTATTATCTGCTATCACATCATCAGTCATACATTTGTACAGTTGACACTAGATCATCCAACGTTCCATCAAACCAAGGGTAGCTGTTAAGAGGTGGCAGTGTTGTTATGTCGGTCTTCATTGCTGAAATGTTTCCTTGTGACTTCCTCTGCGCTGACGTTGACTCTCTTATAGTCCAGCTTTAAATTATCTGCCATTCTCCCTAGTATTAAAGGGGATCTGCTGTCATCAGTCTTCATCAACTTCTTCAGTGCCTCCCTGGCTGCCATTTCTTCTGCAATGGTCACTGTTTCCCCTGGGGCTGAAAATGTAATTTCATAAATTGGTACTTAAACAAATGATGGGAAATATAAATCTTACATTTGTGTTTCAGGGTCATGGATATCACTGAATCACAATAATGAAAGTTTTCAAAACTTAACTTTAGGAAGACTTGCCCCCAATCTGTGTCAAATATTAATTATTTTTTATTTACATTTATTAAGTGGTCAAGAATATGAATATTCTTGTAGCTTCGAGTCTGCAGTTGGAAAAAAGTTTAGAATTTATTTTGTAATTAAAACAAATCTCATCGCAAAACTTTCGCCGCTGTCCAAGTTAAAGAGTTAAGCGAATTATAAAAACTGTACCGCACAAAAAGATTTTAAGCAAAGACTTACACTTTCCTATGAGTTGTTTGTCACTGTAGATGCCTACCCAGTAAAGGGACATAATTGTGTTAGTAGCTGATTTCCACAACAACCTGTAAGTAAAATAATATAAAAACATATACCTTCTTTTTAAAGATGAGTTTAAACACACCAAAAAGTAGAGAATCATCTTAATTTCCTTGGACCAATGGTTTTTGGAAGTGAAGGTGGTGAGGTAGTTTGAAAAAAGACAAAAACAACTCTTCTCATTTCCCATTCACTCACTACCCACCCTCCCACAACCCAGCTAGCTCTCACTCTGTCGCAACTCAGATGCGACCTTACAGCAGGCCCGTTCTTAGGCATACGCTGACTACGCATCGGCGTAGGGCCCCGAATGTGAGGCGCCCTCGGTCTCCCGTTTTTTTTTTTTAAACTGGCACTGCAGCCGTCTGTGTCACTCACATTACCTTCCTCATCCTGAAATTTATCATTCTGAGTTGAATTCGGAGGCAGGGGAAGGGAAGCAGCAAGGGGGGAGCTTTGGGGGTGGCAGACAGGAAATCGGGGGCTTGGCCGTGGGAATGGGAAAGAGGAAACATTGATGAAGGCAGAATGGAGGAGTCACAGTGGTGGGTGACGTTTTCTCTTCAGCTCAAGGGAGCTCCACCCCCGGACCCCCAAACTCCTAAGAACGGCTCTGCTTACAGGTCAGCACGAGCCAGGCGCAATCAAACATGGCGAGAGGGTCCCGTGTGATGAAAAAGTTTGATGCTACAATCAATACTCAATGGATTTGTGAGAAGAAAGAAAGTCTTTAAAAAAAAACCCCAAAAAAACTGATGACCAAATTTTAGATAAGAAACTAACCTACACAGCTTGAAAAAAATATTTTTAAAATGTGCCCTTGGGCTTAATTCAAAAATGAGAAGTTAAAATTTTTTTTTTAAATTCTAGCACATACCTTGGCTCTGGTGGCCCTTTGCCAATTAATGCCAACACAGCTGATAAAAGACCCATCGGGTTGATTAACTCCCACAACTCGTTGATGTCTTTGCTGATCAGTTGGGGCAGAACAAAATCTCTGACAAAGCATTCAGCTCGCTCTTGTCCCTAGGAAGGAAAGCAGTTAAGATTTTGGTAGTCTAGACTAAACAAATTGATAGAAATGATACTGAGGGATGACATAGATTTTTTTTATTATTATCTATGTGTTGAAAATAGTCACTTAACATATTATGTATAACCGACTCTTGAGATTTGCGAGCAGCTTATAATTAAAATCTCACTTAGGGATTTGGCCTACATCTTGTTCCCTTTAAACATCATAGGGGAAACTTGTTTAGCACATGATATCTTTTTCTATATGTACACACAATCTATTCATCAGCACATGGTATCATATATGTGTACACACAATCAAATCATCAACACATATCAGTTGCTATGTGTACACACAATCAAATCAGCACACAATATAACTTGCTATGCGTACACACAATCAAATCATCAGCACAATACATTTTTTTGCTTCTTAAAAACATCTCCATCTATCACTAGCATCTGGAGTTTATAACCTTAATTGAATGGAGCTTTGAACCTTCTTACTGATCACACTTGTTTAGTGTTGAGTTAAACACCTGAACACACTAGATCACCACAGGAACCAGTTACCTTGTCTTTGAGGACAGCTCCAACAACAGCTTTGAAGGTTTGACTCAGTGTTGATGACTTGACTGGGAAGTCCTGTTAATGACAAACAACATTGCCTAGAGCTCATTTCACATCATATGGCATATATGCTTGATCTGGTGTACTAGTAATTTATTGACTGCTTTAACAAACGGTCCGAATTTATCATGACAGGACTAGGGAACAAGAAACCAACCTCACTAAGAACGAGATCTTCACAGCCTATGTGTTTAGCAATATAGGAAAGCATCTGCTCTGAAACCAAGTAGTCATGGATGGAACTGAAAAATGTAAAAGGAGTAATCTTTATTCATCCCAATTACAGAAAAGTTATATGCTGTGATCTATAAACTTTACATTTACAAATGTGAACATAACAATTTTGTATAAGTTTTAAATAAATAAAATAAAAAAAATAAAAAGATATTTAATCTACTCCTCATCCTGAAATCAACCATGCCATAAAATTTATCATATGTCAGGAATCTTATCAGAGGGAGCGGAAGCGTTTGCCGTGCTTCAAAGTAAGTTATGTTTTTAAGTATTTCAAGATGGTTGCATGCTGTGGGAATACGGACCCCCTAGAATTGTTCTCAAGTCAAAAAGAAAATGCGCTAGCTGAAAGTATCTTGTGCACTGCTTTAGCAAAGGGTGTATATTGAAGAAATTGTTAAGTTTTCAGTTGGTAGATCCAATTTTGACTGTTTGACATTGAGGAATTAAAGAAAGAAAAAAATGGATACCAAGTGCTACAAAAGAGTTTCAAACATTAATATAACACAATATTTTTGAAGTTAGATTTGACATAATAATAAAACAATGTTTTCAAAATTATGCCAGAAACAAATTAACGTGCAACCTGGCAATGGAAAAATTTTGGGGATACAGAAATTGAATAAGTTATTTAAACAAAATCTTATCAAAATTTGAACTTACATTACACACCATATTTTGTATGTGTAAAATTATATTTCTTCAAAATTTTGGTTTAATGATATATTTGGTTTATGTATAAGAAAAAAAAAAGATATAAGGTATGTTTGCCTCATATATATAAGAAATATAATGTATTACAATGAGCTTCAATATTTACCTAACGCCTTCCTCAAACATGTATGGATACATGTTCCTTAGATAGACCTTAATATAACTGCTCAGCAGTTCAGAACCTGTGAAAAGAAAAATAATTAATGATGCAATTTCTGCATAATTGGGCTAAAATCGAATTGATATCTCTTTTGAATGTGCAATTTTTGTCAATGCTTGTGTGAAAAGTTTAAAAGACAACCAGCAACATTTCAAAGTTAACCTTTTTCTGCAAGTTCTCCATTGTCTTGTAGTTGAAAGGACATCACATCTGTATCAATGCCTAGTTCTTTTCGCTTTTGTTTTTCCCTCTCAATATAAGAACTATGAGAAAAATAAATGAAAAGTAAACATTTGGGCAGTTTAATGTCTTAACTATTAAAAACAGAAAGATGTGATTTAGACTTTAACTGTATTTTACATTCCCAAGCGCTCATGAACAAAACCTATCCAATGCTCTATAATGATCATTTTGAAAATAAATTTTTTCCTGACAATGCAATATTTAGATGTGGAATTGACTCAAGAAATATATAACCATTCAAGTACATTTCTTAGTAAAAAAACATTTTAACTACACCTGAAAACACCAAATTCTATGTAACTTCTCAAATTTAATCTGCCCATTACATTTTCTTCAAAGTCAAAAGATAAGAATGACCAAAGCCATTCATTAGTTTTTTTAGTTTTTTTTCAAATCAATATCTTTTAGTGTTAATTATTTCAAGTAATACATGTCTACCTTTGTACAAATGCCTGTCTCAGAACTGATTCACTCAAGTCTTCACTCAGCCGTTTACCAAATGCAAATATTTCACAATCATAATTCCTAAAGAAACATGGAAAAGAGATGAAAATGTTTAAGATTTCATAAAAATAAGACCTGATGAAACCTAACAACAAAATCTTTTTAATAACAATTATTTGAAATATCTCAATAGTTAATTTTCAATTACTTGATCTCATGAGATATAACATTTTACCAGTTTATCCACTCAGATCTGCGTCGTTCTTTTTCTGGTCCAACTTCCAAACGTCTGATGTACATTTCACGGCGGTACTTCATTTCATATCGATTGTGATTTCTTCGGGGCACTGAAAATAAATAAATTTATGCTGCAATACTAAGATTGAAATCATTGTTAGTGGTTTCCACCTCCTTAAGAGTAATTTATCAGTTAGTCTATACAATCAAAGTAAAGATTTGTTGTTATAAATCACAGGTCCCATTTATGTCAATTATTTATCATGGTTAGGACACTTACACTTGTACAGACATCTTTACTCTGACGATTTTGCAAATCATTTATTATAATTTATAGCATTATAATGTCACAATTTAATGGGACATTATTGGGAGGAGTGACCCCTCCCCAAAATCCTCACCCCAATTTCAATACAAAAATAACAAACAAAATAATGGTAAATTCAGACAATCCACCATATTGGTTGCCACGAACAGAGAAAGGTCACCCTTATTAGGCTAAACACATCTATAACTAAGTAGGTACTTCTATAAAGCAAGGGCAAACTCTTATGAATGAAATTCTGAGATAGTACTACGATATAGCCATTACGCAAGTGGCTGTGAATGGTTGCCAATGAGAACATGTTGCGAACGGAAAATTCTGATCATTTATAATATGGACTCTACAGGGTTTTTAAAGCTGAAATTAAAACATTCCAGGTTAAATGTCTTCAAAATGCATTCTAACACAAATTATCAAATATTTTGATGTAAATAGTGGTAATAATTAAATATTTCCTAAGTATCGGCAACTTCCGCCATTAAAAAGGGGGTTGTCGAAATTAGGAAGAGCGACCTTATGGTGATGTGGGTCATGGGGACAAGCGTAACGAACGTCGGAAACGACCTACATCAATGAGAATTGGCACATGTATACTTCAATATCTAATGCTTTTCACGATTTAATATGAAAGACCTTTTCTTTTTATTTCACAAAAAATTTTGTGTGCCAAGATGCCTTATGTATACCAAAGATTTTCAAAATAAAGGTCGATTGAAAAAGCAAAATAGCTGGATGGAAATGTAGGCCAAGATGTCTACCAAAATAAAAGGCCAGGAACAAAACTCAAATACATGTCGAAAGTAGTCATTTAATAATAAATAGACACACATGAGAAAATTTAAAACTCTGATTTAATTTTTCGGCGCCGATATGCAAAAAATAGTAATCTCCCTTGTTTCATCGAAGTATCTACCTAGATCTAACCTAAACCTAACCCCTAAAGTTCTAAACCTATTAATATTAATAAGTTAAAAAACATGAAAGGACTTCATGGCACCAACTCTTTGCATAATCATATTGACTAAAATAATTTCTAGGGAAGAGCATCTCCCAGAAACCCTCCCAAGACAATCATTAAAATATGAGGAAGAAAACATGTATCAAATAAATTAAAATACAGAGCTAAATTTTGAAATATTTTGAGAAACGGAACTAATAGCTGATATGGCTAATACATTCATTTCATAGTTTGATACTGATAGTGAATCAGCGATAGTTGACCTGGGCCTGGGGAACCTCCATGCTAAATAGACACCGGGTTTAAAAAAATCAACATTAAAAAATGCATTCTATAAAACACTTTAATCATCAATTGTTGATAATATAAGCAGGGTAAACAAACCATAATTTAAAATTAAAGCTGCTCCTCTAACTCCAACTACATTTGCTCGAATATTCATACAAGTTCTAACTATGGAGGAGGCCATTTTGTTTTACATCTGAACTTGGAACTTCCGTTTTCGGTGTTGAAATTAGAAAAGATTCTCAAATAAATATTCTTGCGTTATTTAAAGAACTTTTAACATAAAAATATAATTTAACACTGCTAAAAAATTTTAGCTGTTATATTTTTTTTTACTAAACTCTCTCCATCAAATTGTTTCATACTTCATTTAAAGTTAAAAAACCAAATTGATTTCACAACAATAAATAATATAAATATTATTTAAGATACAAATATTTACCAGCGCACCGCACTCAAACGACTATCGGCAATGCCAAAAACACCTTTTTAAAAAACTTGTTACTTTAATAAATATATGTAAATGAAATTAAGAAACTATCTAACAACATTTTAAAAAATTATTTTTTGAGAAAAGTATATTTTTATTGTTTTAAATGTAATCTTCATTCATAATCTTTTAAATAGTTAAAGTAATTTTAAACTTGAACAATAACTTTAAAATTCATTTTGTTTGAAATCTGCACAATTTTTTTAACCAAGGAGGTTCATTCAAAACAAAGTTAACAACATAGTATAGCCTATTTGATGAAATGGCGAGTGCTTCTATTTCACGTTCTTCCGAAATCCATTCACCTCAGCTTGAGCGTTTTGAAAGGGCTATTCCATTCAGGGAATCTAAGGGTCCCATAGGTAAAGTTTCAAGAAATTTAAAGCCACTATCACTAATTTAATAATTATATTTAAATTATAACTATAACTTTGTGTTTACTTATTACTTTTACCAAGACCAAACACAAGTGATTTTAGACTTTAATGACGAGCAGTTGTTAAGTTGTAGAAGTAGTATTTAGAAGTAGCGTAAGCCTAGCTTAGGCATATGTTTACAACTGTAAAAAGTAATCTGCCTAAGGCTGATACAGATAATAACTTTAAAAAAAAATGATTGGATTTGTAGCAAAATTGAGACTCCCTTCCACAAAAAGTTGTGACGCCTCCCCCCCCCCTCCTTTTATAATTGTGAAGTCATTTAGGAATAGCCCCTGCCCTGCTTATAAATCATATTCTTTTATAATTGCGAGTTTGAGCTTTGTGTTTTGTCATGAAAATAAATCCGGGCTAAATCTGAGGACGGCTACCACGGCGTCTTTTGGTGTTAAATATAGTTGCAGTGAATTAAGGTTTAGGGATCGATTTAGGGTTCAGGTTAGGCATAGGGATCGATTTAGGGTTCAGGTTAGGCATAGGGATTGATTTAGGGTTCAGGCTAAGCATAGGGATCGATTTAGGGTTCAGGTTAGGCATAAGGATCAATTTAGGGATACATTCGTGAAATTCGATAAAATAGTGGCAATCGTCCCCGTAAATTACCTAAATCCGCAATAAACTCTAGCATACTATAAAGATTGAGTACTCATGTATAATAATGTAAGAGAAAGATATGGTAATGTAAGTATATATTATATATATTATGGAGACGTGTAATTAATTACATCAACATTCAACATTTTTAAAGCAATTCTCCCCCCTGACCCTCCCCTTAGCTACGCCTCACCGACTCAAACAAAATGAATTATAATATAAACAAATATATAAATACATTTTACTTTGTGCTGATCTATTTTAATGACACAAAATTGTAGGAAAAACATTTTATTATATCTTTAGCTTGTTAATCAACAAGTTAAAAAGTTTTTACACTTGCATTTTATAATGCAGAAACAACCAAAGACTAAATATTTTTGTTTGTGGAAGTATAAATATGATTATTGTCAGTATAACTGACAATTGTAGCATAGTTTCTAGCTGCTGTCATCTTCCCAAGGAGTAGCCAGGTGTTGCTCTATCATAACAATGGGCATATCAGCTAATTTATCATTTTCATATTGCAGAACTGATATTCCAGACAAGTCAACATCATCCTCTATCTAACCATTCAGCACTCACTCTAGAACAGTGGTTCTTAACCTGGGTCTCAGGGGTTCGGCGAAGGACCAAAAAAAATCAGAAAAAAAATCCTATTTTATTTTTCCTATTTAGAAGGGTTTGGTGAATGCGCATATGAAACTGGTGGGGTTCGGTACCTCCAAAAAGGTTAAGAACCACTGCACTAGAACCATTGTCAGTGTGAGCAATAATTGCCATAAGCTCTCTCCGTCTCCTCGCTGCTACTCACATTAGTCGAATCTTTTTTTTTGTTGCTGTTGAGGAGCAGGTGGTATTTTCTTATGCTCAAGAGGGCATTGTTGGTGCTGAAATGACTTGTGATGCAAAAATAGATGTTACAGATTTTGCAAATCGGTTCAAACAGAGATGTTATTATTGTTACTCACTTTACTTTCCCCCTAATTATCAAAATATTGCATTCCTACTCTATCAATATCACTTATTTTGAATGCACAAGACACTTGAACCATGTCCTTGTTCCATACCCGCAACACGATCGCAAACATACCACTCTTGTCATTTACGACAAACGGAATCTACAGGCGAAGAGAGGCCAACTTTTGACTTCTCTTGCACTAAAAAATTACACTAACATTCTGACCAGCCATCTGCAGTGCACAGACATTAAATAATGTCATAGTGTTAAAAGCCTAAAATTATACAGCTATTTACACTCATTAAATTTGTTAAAATAAGGTAATAAACAATCAATTTTTAAAGTTAAAATTTTAATAGAGAAAACATGATTGTTGATGTCAACTAATCTAAACCCATCCCCTCCCCTTGTCAACAATTGTCAAACAATGACCAAACCCCCTCCCCCCAATTTTTTTGATATAATGAATGGACGACCCCTGTTTTTTTTATACTAGCAATGTTTTATTTAAGTCAATAGCAAATTTTTCATTAGGTTTTCTTAAATTAATGTTGTTTCTTAGTTGCATGTTTTCTTGTTTAAAGGTCCTTTCCGTGCAACAAAAATTTGGAATGACCTAATTGAACACCTCAGGGCTAAGGTTGAATTGAAGAGACGTAGGTACAAAATGCGTCATGTAGATTCCTGTTTTACTGGAACTGACGCAGTTGATGTTGTTCTTCATTTCCTCCTCAATGATAAAGAGATGTTCTCTTCTGATCTCTCCAGGGAAAAGGCAGTGAAAGTAAATACAATTATTTATAAATATCATTTTGAATTTGAATAATTTGCAAAATTAAGTAATTAACAAACATAAGCTGAAGACAAATAACTCATTTTTAAGTTGAGTCATAATTCATATTTAATATAAATTACTTTTGTCAGTTCATATCTATCCAAAAATAATTCTTTAGTTGTAGGAATTAAGTTTTTTTTTTTATGTTTTGGTATCAGTCTCAATACCTCTTTTTTTAAATTATCTTAAGGTTTGTCAGATGTTAATGCAAAGGAAAGTCTTTCAGTCAGCTACTGATAAGCCAGATACAGATAAGGCTATGTTTTTTGAAGATAGCAGCAATCGGCTCTACCAGTTTATGGGAGAGCATGTGGTCAATGAAGATGCTCTTGAACTAGATGAAGATGATGGTGACTGTGGAGATATTCACAATGTAACCCAGTCCTCAATGAACGCAAGGTATGTTTCATGTTTAGACTTTGTCATTCATTCAGACCTCGTGTGCTCTTGCATTTGGTGAGGATAACCATTAGCTTCTGCCCTGAAAGGTTAGGGGGTCTTCCAGATATCAAATATATTCTGATACATGGATGCAAGTGACATATTGTACTGGTTGTTTACCATGGTCTCATCATTAGTCAGTATTTAAAATATTTTGTATCCAACCATTTCATGTTCTGCTATTGAATTTTATTTTTTACTTTTCAGACATGGTTATGGTTCTTTAAAAAAATGATTGATAGATAAACCAGTTATTTGTATTTCAGAAATATATCTTTAATATTGCTCTTTAGTTTTGTGATTTGAACAAAGTTTTTTATCAAGAAATTTTTCCCTATCATAAAACACTGGTACAAAAAGATCCCAGTATAAAAAATAAATTTTAATTATTGGTAAGGGATCAAATGAATTTTTCTTTTAATAAACATATTGATTTTGTAAAAATTTAAAGAGTGCTGGATTAAAAAAAAAAAAAAAAGTTAGAATGACGCGTCTGTAATAATATAATAACGGGCTGGATTTATTTCTTTTTCCAAAGGCCTTCAGATGGGTTTGAGCCTGATGATGAACCAAATGCTCCAGAGCCAATCTGCAATACCAGACCACTGCGCGAGATTCATAACAACAATAAGGACATTGACTTTGCCATGACGCCCGGGAGAAAAATTAAAACTTTAACAGCCGAAGGTGGGGAACCGCTCTAAACATCTCTATTTATTATACTGAAAGGTGGTTTAGCAAAAGTATTATATAAAATCACCACGTTTTCTCTAAGGTTTTACTACTACTAGTCTTAAAATAGATACAAATCTGTTAATTATTTTAGAGAGAACAATTTTTTTCTTAAAAGTTGGATTTTTTTCATAATTATTTGTTTGAAAATTGGAAATTTTAAAAAGCTTTTTCCGAACCTCTTCACAGAAATTGATGACATGTGGAGAGAAGTGGCTCTTACTCAGCTTCTTACTCTTGTGGAGTTAACTTTTCTTGATGGGATCCTAAGTGAAGACAAGCGGACTCAAAAGCAGCAGCAAAGAGATCACCTCATTATCTCTAACATTGTGGCTAGGAGCTGGCATCTTCCACTCACCCCGAGCAGCCTCAACACACCGTCGGATCCTCTGTTAAAAACAGCAATGGAGTGCATTGAATTTCTACCTAAAGGTTTTTACAAATTTAAAACATCTAAGACTTTACCAACTTATCAGTACAGATCATGGATTTGATTTTTGCTGATATAAAATCCGTCTTGAAGTCAATATTGTCGTGTCAGGAACTGAGGTCTTATGATTTATGATGGCTGATTTTTGCGCTTGAGAAACACTTAAAATATTTTACGTTTAAGTTATTCTAGTTTACAAATGTTTATCAATAACGCTGGAAATGAAAATGTATAATGTAATTAAAACACAGTTCAATTAATTTGGATCAATTAAAGAATCTTATGTTAACGTATCTTAGCAGAACAATTAAGATCATTGAAATAAAACTAAACATGAACAAAAAATTATAACTGAATGAATAAATATAATATTGTAAAAGCCTGCATTCACTCATCTCCGCCTTTAACTCTACTGGATTTTATGTACCCCAGTTATTGCATTGTAAAGATGTTTCACTTGAATTTGAAATTATTCATACAGCAATTTTTACTTAAATTTAAATACCTTATTAAACAAAAAAGTTTAACAATGCGTTTTTTGGGGGTATGCAAGAAAACAGTGAAAGTGGTTCAGTCCATTAGAGTTACTCTCTGCCTCTATAGTTACGTAAGAATATTTTATGGAGTTCAGGGTAGAAGAGGAAACATCCTTATAACTTGATTGCTCTTACTCTCTTCTCAGGGTTAAACCTCCTAAGTGAGCCAGTGTTCAAGCGGAGAGGCTTAGAAGCCAAAGTGTGGGCTAAAGATATTATTGTCAAACACTTCACAAGTCAGTCAGACAGCCTACTGCCGCAGAAGTATCTAGAGTTGCATATGGCTATTTTAAATCTTGTCCTTTCTGGCAGCTTTGATAATGGTATGTCACAACGTCCTTGGGGAAATTCGCCATGTTTATTAAAAATTTCCTCACCAACTACGATTTCAAGAAGTCGTCATTAATAATAAATATTAAGTAACAGTTTACAAAAATTCTATTAATATTTATCCATAATAATTAAAAATAAATTCTTCATAGTATAATTGTTAACTTAACCCTTCTGTTTTATCTGTGTAAAAATGTGCATAACTTGCTTGAAGTGATGTTGTATATTATAGCATTGTATTTATATTGTCACACTATTTTCATTAAAAAATTAAGATATTAATTTTTAAGTTTGTTTTTTAAACCAGTGGATCCCAACAATTTTGACTCGTGTGGCCTTTTTATGGAATCAATGTAACGGTGGGGGAGCCTCATAAGCCCACCTTGTTTCTAAAATATTAATAGTGTTTAGGAGTTCCCTGGAGTGGCCACGGCAGTCCCCAGAGAAGTGTACGCTAACCTTAGGGTTTTGTCAGACACATGTTGGGAAGCACTGCTCCAAACCATTTGACTTATTTCAATACAGTTCCTAGCACTGACTTTTTGTGTCATAACAATGACTTCCTTGATTTTTTTCCATTTCATTTCAGCCTTAAGTGCCCTACAGCTCTATATGATTCTTTTGCCTGTAGCTGCCAGGGAGGAGTTGTACAGACTGCTGAAGTTCATGAGATCTTTGGCTGCTGACACCACCATTAGACTTGACCCAGAAGTAAGTCATAATTATGCTCTGAGGTTTATTCCAGGTCTCAAATACTTGTGTTAAATTTCTAAGGATGAAATGGCTCCGCTCTTTTATTTTCAACCACTCTAAAAGACACATTGGTTCTAAAGAATATGCTGCATCTAAAAAAGAAGAGAAAAGACTTTTTGGAGGCCATTAAGCTTATAACTGAAACATTAATCCTATTTGTGGCGGATGGAAAGTCATCTAAGAGTAGGTCCCCTGCGCATGGCCAAAGAAGCAATGTAAGAGTCTAGAACTTTGTTACTGTCTCCTAGCCCTTGGAACAATGCTGATGTGTACTGTCAAGTAAAAAAAAAAATCAAGGTTTAAAATGTTCGGTATTCTTTAAATTTTTTATATGCTGTTTAAAACTCCGTCCACAACAATAATAAAACAGTAATAGGTGGTTTTCACTACAGAAAAAAAAAGAATCTCCTGTGCACAGTTCGAAGACACTCTCAGCTCATCAAAATAAGCCCAACCTATGTCTAATTGTTAACAATGTTCAGGAGTTCCTTGGCGGGGCAACGGAGCCCCAGAGAACCACATGCTGACCTTAGAGTTTTGTGAGACATCAAATGTACACACTTTTTTTCAACACACCTCTGTGGCTGAGTAAAGTTCATGTGATAAAAGAGGAAATAATTAAAGGGAAGAAAAAACACTCACCCAAACATCACAACCACGTGACCTGACTGTGACACTATCCTGTTCAATATATTGCTATATTTTTTCTGGGTTTTTATGCCTGGTTTAAAAGCTCTACAAACATATGTAGTTATACATTTTCATTTGAGTTAATTATAGCTTACAATGAATCAGTTTCACAAGCACCCAGTATCAGATTCTAAAAAATATTACATTGTATCAGTAATCTTTCTTATAGCACATTTTTCTTAAAAGAAGGGGAAAAAAAAGTCTGTAAATGTGTGCAATCAATCGTTGTATCTTTCAGGAATCTAATGAAATGGTTATACTGAGGCTTCTCACAGACTGCATCTTCCAGCACAAACTTCTAGCCTCCAATGTAGCCCAGAAAATGGTTCAGTTCATGATGAACAATGCCGACCAGATGTTCACGATTCCACGCTACGTCAGAAAGAAAGTGGCCATCAAACTGTACCAGCTCAAGACTGGGAAAGCCATGCTGGACTGTGGTGAGTGGATGAGTTAGAGTTTCCAAAGTTAACATTTAATTGTGTTCTTGACTTTATATAGCTGTTGCATGGCTTTCATAGGACTACTGAGTTTAGTATTTTTTACATAGCTTTTATAGAACTATTTTGTACATAGCTTTCATAGAACTACTGAGTTGAGCATTTTTTTACATAGCTTTCATAGAACTACTGAGTTGAGCATTTTTTACATAGCTTTCATAGAACTACTGAGTTGAGCATTTTTTACATAGCTTTCATAGGACTATTTTGTACATAGCTTTCATAGAACTACTGAGTTAACTCATTCCTGACGGTTGCAACTAAATGCGTCCTTGGGGGGTTTCTCCTGATGTGTCCAAATGCGTCCCGGTGCATAGCAACACACCTCTCTTTTTTCTGGTTAAAAATAGCAATGAAATCTCACATCCCTCGAGACTTCCGGCTATGGCTTGATTTCTGCGTGATTTTAATTTAAAAAACCGGAAGTTTTTTATCTTGTTACACTTTAAAACTACGTGTGCTTTAGAACATCGCGTCTATTTGTAGCATGTGTTCGTCCGAGGTGCCAAAAATCGATTTTTTGGCCATTGTTCATTATTTTTTCGCCGCTAATGTTATATTTTTATTAAACCGTATTCATTTTTTGATGCATTCGTCCTTATTTCATTAACATTTATTATTATTTAGCAGCTTTAAAAAATATTTTAAAAATTTAAATCAATTTCAAAAATGAGTTGCTTGCCTTATCTCAGGAAAATAAATTAAGTACAGAAGTAGTACTGCCGGAGGGAATGAGTTAAGTATTGAATCAATGGTCAGTGATGGGCAACAAAATGATACTTTGTATTATATTTTAAGATTATTGTTAAATCTCAGTCACATCAGATTTCTCATGTGGTGGCTTGGTTGATCTTTGATTATTCCCAAATAAATGCTTTTGATGAAAGTATTATTTGAGGACCATGAGTTTTAAATGAGTTTTTATTTTTTAAAATAATAATAATAATAAAGATCATTTCAAAAACACGCTTCATCCCCAAAGGCTCGAAGCGCGGTACAAAGTCAACAAAAAACAAATCTATAATTTACCACATTTAAAACAAACGCAACACTACAAAAATTAATTACAAGCATACAATGGCAAAGTCTTTCTACCCATTTCAACCATACGCAACACAGCCATTATGCATTAACTGGAAAATAAGGTTGAAAATAAGCTGCTAATGTTATTGGAATGGCCACTCATGGTCCTTTGAGCCTCAATAACGCAAGTACTTTGTTATTTCCAGAAGCCAGCTACTGCAATCGAGTATCTAAGGAAGAGTTTGAGCGCCAGTCCAAGGACTGTACTGAAGTGTCCTTGATTGATTTGATGAACACAGTACTGGATGACACAAGCCTTTCACTGAAGGAGAAGAAGCACAGACTCAAACAGTTCCAGAAATCTTACCCTGACCTCTTTGAGCAGAACTTTCAAGGCTTGCTTTGAATCACCTTTTTTTTCTCCCCATTTTTATGAGCTGTAATTTATCCTTTTTGACTCCATTTAATTGTTTAGAATAAGTAACGTTGAATTCAGTTAACTGTCTAATTTATTGCATACTTATTTTTACACACAAAAAAATATGTAAACTCAAAGTGCTTATTGTTGGAGCATTCATGAGTCAATGAAGTATTTTTTACATCTTCATACTTTGTAATATTAGATTAAAACTTATTGCATTCCATTTCCACATATCATCTATGCATATCTTTATCAGAGCAATCGCTGACAATATATGATGCAGAATTATTTTCTACTTTGGACAAAAGATGTTAATACATTTATACAGGCCTATAATTTGCAAGTTTTGATAATTGCTCAATTTTAGGAGTCTTATTGATTAGGTGCTATACTGGAAGGTAATTTCAATTTTTGTGTGTGTCAAAATGTAATTTTAATTAAATTAATGATTTTTTGTGTGCAATTACTTTGAATTACACAGTTTTCTATGTGTAATTTTGTATAAATAATTTAGTTTTCATTAAAACTAAATTCTCTGACCTAACCAAGTAAATGACATTATAAATATTATTTAAATGTAAAGATTTGTAATTTATTATAAAAATTGATGCTGTGGTGCAGGAAATAGAACAAGCTATGTGGAAGCTTGAAATAGAAAGACCAGACAATAAAAGAAGAAATATTTGCCAAGAGCCATCTTCAGCAGACAGAAAAAAATGAAGAAAAATTAAATAAAAATTAGTTAAAACACTCAAGTGTTCCCCATTGATGTTATTGCCAGATGCAGTGATTAGGATGCATTTTCATTCAGGTTAGTGTCTGATTCTTTGAGGCCCTTGTAAAGATCGTTTGGTTTATTCTCAGCGTTTGTGAACAATATTCTTTTGAGAATAGGACACAATTTTTTAAAAAATTATAAGCTTCTGCTTTTTTCTGTGGGAAAGCAAACATAGCATTTAGCTGACATGATATTTCAGCTTAACAGAAGCTTTTCTTATACATATTAATATCTCTGTGCCATACTCTAGTCAAAGTTCATCAAATATGCCAGCACTCTCTATTTATGTTTTTATATATCTAAAAATTTTGTCTTCTCTTGATTCTTAAAGGAATTGGTCTCAGGAATTTTCGCGGAAGCCATATTAAGGCAAACTGTGCAGTGCGAAGGAATAAAATCATGTAATCCTGTTAAGTTTTTTTTTTGCCCATCCCTCTGGCTAGATGTCTCAGCTTTCTTTTTGAATATAACCATCATGAAACAATTTTTGGTCTCTTCATTTCAGCATTGCAACCATTTTCCCCATGAGACCGAGTACAATATTTTTCTTGAGTGTCATGTACAAATAAGAATGATGGATGCTACGTGGATCTATGTCAATTGTTGTATCATTTATTTTGTTCACACGGCTGCCACTTGTTTTTTTAGGTGGGAAGGGTTTATTTATTAGCAATTTAATGTGCATTTAAACAGATAAATTATGCCCCCTAAGAAAAAAAAGTTAAAATAATTGACTCGATTTCAGAGAATGATTAAAAATACCGGCACCTTATCCTTCTCAGAGTAAGATGATTTTTCTGTTTTCATGTGCTCTCAGTTAACACATTTAAATCTAGTTAAAAAATTAGGTCCTCGCAACTATTCTAATTTTATAATTCAAGAAACCGGAGGTGAGTTAAGGTGTTTTTCCAGCTTGCATGACTGCAAAGAGTGGTATGTCTTATCGTCTGATTAGATTGGATTGTAAAGGGTTCACTCTTATTAGTATTATTTTTTATGTTCCTCCATATGTGTAACTTATAATTACATAATGATGGAGCTTGTTGTATTCTATTGGAGTGTGTTTATTTGTATTTTGCCTGTATCGGTCAATCAACCATTTCATAGTTTTTTTGGATTCAAACACATTTTGTGGAAACTGATTCTGGATGAACTTCTGTTGTTTTTTAAGTGGTCATTCTACATATTTATTTTCCTTTTTTTTCATGAAATCCATTATGAAAATTAGTTCCATTTAACTATATTAAGAATAATGGCTCAATTTTTAATCTAAGATATCCATTTTGAGTTGGTTTTTTTCATTCCTAAGTTAGGTAAATATAAAAATCCCACTTCTGGAAATAAATTTTGAGTTATGCCCCTTAGGTTTGTAAGAGTAACTGTAGGAAAAGAAATAGGGGCTTGAATGATTGCTTTATTGTCATTGGTATGAGATCAACTGTATGCTTTCTTTGAGTTTTGTCAACAACTTTACTTATACATTTACTATAACTTTGCCAATTGTTTTCACAAAATCCAAACACGATGTTTAAAAAATTTGTTCAGTAAATTACTGTGTTATTTCCTGCACAGAATATATTGCATTTAACTTTAAAGTGAAAAGTCTTTCAAGAGATGTTTCATGTTATTGCTGTGTGTAATACACTTGGGTACTTGATCAGATAACCAAATATTGCATGCTGTATGTCCCCCTCATTGAATTAAAAATGTTTCAAACTGGTAACTGTGACCAATGTAAGCATATTAGATTCAAGGGCAGTGTCAGTTTATGTGTAGGCTTGGCAGCAAGGAAGATTGCACGAACCTTGCGCTGAGTGTCGGCCAGATACTTATTTGTTGTTTTTTTTTGGCCAATATGCTGGGCTTTTATTACCGATTGGAGTTTTCTCCTCATCTGTATGCGGAATATCACATGGGGCTTGTGACTGCCTGGGTGTTGTTGATCAGTAAGTGGGTTATGAACATTAGTCCGTAAGGAATTTATGCCTGGTGTGTGTCTGTGCTTAAGGTTAACCTAAAACATGAACCTCCTCACTCATATTAGCCCTCTTTTCGTCAGTACCAGTATTTATTTATTGCTCATGGAGGTGGATTAAATGTGTTGCACCTTGAAGTGATGCACTTTAGGAAAGCATGCGCGAGCTCTTGTGCCAGCACACAAGAGCTCGACTTGTTATATAACACATTTAAACATCATCAGATTTGACCCTTGATCTTACATAACATCACAAAAGATTTTTTTCTGACATTTATTTAAACTTTAAAACAATTTTGTTTCTCTGTAATTTCACTTCATAAAAATGTGTACATACTTATTGATGGTATAAATATTTCTCAATGTAAGTGTTAGTAGAACAGGAGTAATTCATTGATTCTGTTGGTCTTTTTTCGTTCTAAACTTGTACATGAAATGGCTTAGCTTAAAAAAAACAAAACACGTTTCTATACAAATGTTATTTACATACACTTGCATGCGTAATGTGTTTAAAAATTGAAAAGCATTGTTTAAGGAAATACAAACTTTTCTTGTCCGTGATCATCATGACCCGTTGTACTCTTGTTATTTAATGAAAGACTCAAGCCCTTTTTTTTAAAACTTTAACTTAAACTGAAATAATTAAACAAATTGAAACAAAAATTACTTGGAGAACTGAATGTCATTAAAATTAAAAGTGTTTAGTAATTATACATTTCCGTAACAGTAACATTTCACAGTATTGATGTTACAGAAATTATCTGGTTTTAAATGTTGGTCATCAGTTGCCTGATATAATAGGGACAAAACTTGGATGAATGTTTTAAAAGAGTGATTTAAAAAAAAAAAAAAAAAAAATTAAATTTCAGGGAAAATAAAAATTACAGAAATTATCTGGTTTTAAATGTTGGTCATCAGTTGCCTGATATAATAGGGACAAAACTTGGATGAATGTTTTAAAAGAGTGATTTAAAAAAAAAAAAAAAAAAATTCAATTTCAGGGAAAATGAAATTTTAAGCCTACTTTCTTATACATCGTATCTAGAAACACAGTGTTACAAACTATTAACTTTTGAACACTTGGGTGGACAAAAATTTGATGACCATAATTCTGATTAAAAAATTTACTTTAAAAGTTGTTTTTTTTTAAATAAAACAAATTGAGGGTAAACTCAGTCCGACCACTCCCTGTTACTGAAAACCCTCCAATGTTC